GCTCCGGCCCGCTCCCTCCCTCCGGCCGCGTCGCTGCGGCGGGACCGAGCCGAGGCCACGACAAACACGGTCAGAATTCAGGCCAGCAAAGCTTCGAGGCGCAGTTTATTCAAGCGATAGCGCTTCCAGCCCGACGGCACCGCAGTGCTACAGCAGCGGCCGCCCCAGCCCCGGGCGAGGGGCGCGCACGCACGGCCGCGCGTTTTTACCGCGGCTACACAAAGCTGCTGTCCCGTCATGGCACTGGCCCGCTACATTACCGCGTCACAGAGGCCGAAGTGGATAAACTCATCGATTATATTGCCAACCCTTTCTAAAAGTAATTTGGCAAGCTTGCTAGCACAAGAATGGGAACTGTAACTAACTCCCATTAATATGCAAGTCAAACCCAACCAAAACAGAATTATTCCAGGACAACAAAAAAAACTACTTCAATTATTTCATATTTAGCCTTTAGTGTTACTGCAGTCTAATTCTAAACCCCCCACAAATTAAAGTCGATTCCCTAAGCAGATATTGGCTCTTGCTATATCCCAAACCAAGAAGTTAATGTAATTAACATAATAAAATATGGCGATTTACATACATAACTCAGGCAAATAAATTATCCTCCCACAAATACAAAAAAAATATACTGACATATTTAGGGAAGTTAGCTTTAGAGTTAAATTCAAGCATAGAAATATGAAGTAAACAATTCAATATTCAAGTTAGTTTACAGATCTTTGGGGGCCTGACAGGTCATCCAAGTTCAAGCACAGTGGAGAATTTGGTTAGCTGCTCAACCTTTTTTCATAGAAAAATACCATGTCCATAGAAGAAATGAAATTAATTTCAACTTGCTCAGTGATCCACTCTTTTATTTGACCTTAGTTAAAGGCAAACCAAGTACAGATACTGTACATTAAAACATATGCACATAGAACAAACACTTGTTCTTCATTCTATCTTAAAGGCTCAAACCTCCACACTCGTTTATTTAGAGCCCTTTGCAGGCAATGACTCCTCTCTGAAACACATTGCACCCACATTTAAATATAGAGAGATCCATCTGCAGGTCCCACATAGCCAACACCTATTAGCAGCACATCAATTAGTGTCCATATTCCAAGTCCACCGAAGCTGAAGAGTTTTCCCAGACCTTCCCGCCACTGACCCAAATAGAAACGATCGGCACCAAATCCACCAAGGGTGATGCTATAAGAATAAAAATGTGATTCATTACTATTAGAGGAACTGAGCTTGGGTACCCAGGTGTTTTTCCTCCAGCTGTTTGCTGAAGACAGCCCGCATTGTTGCATGTGAACCCTTTATGCATTCTATGCCCACCATTTCAAGCTAGACTATCTGAAATACTGGTTGTCTGGCACACCTTTAAAAAATACCAAGCAAGAAACCACAGAATCTGAAGATTTTAAAGAAAACAAACCTACTTTAGCTAGACTTTATCCAATAGATCCTGCTTACCTTAGTGCCAAGGCAGTAGACCACTTATAACCTCCAGTCCAGTTGCAATAGAGCATCTTAGGAAAGACACGGTTACCTAAACATTGGAAAATACTAAAACCTTAATGAAATAAACAAGACCATATAATAAGGAAGAAAAATACAAGGAAGAAGATACTATATTTTTCCAAAAGGCATCTAAAAGGGTTGACACTGAGCTTTTGTGTTGACAGTTGTTTCTCATTTATATCCTAGAGTTCTCTGTTCCATCAATCTTGGTTCCATATCAGAAAAGTCAGTGAACAAACAGAGGGAAAATTAAGCCTAATTGTATGGAACCAGCATCATTTTCTTTAATTTACCTATGGAGACATTTGATATTGATTCTATTAGTGGTCTGAGAACAAGTTTAACTCACAGGAATTGACAAAAATAAGAACTGGTGTTCTCTGTTTCACCAGAACGCACTCTGGTGTGACAGTATACAACAATAAGCCAATGTTTGCAGTTAGATGTCACTACTAGGCTAAAAAATTAAATTTAAAAATAAAAAAAAATCAGTAGATTGATCAAGGTGCAGGCAAAAGGATATAAACAATCTTTGTATTCAGCCATTACAAAATATGTGAGAAACTGTTTAGAGAAATCGAGCTATGCCCACCTTACCTAGACAATGAATGTGATCCCGGACTGTGCAAGTTGCATTGTATCGTTGTCGAGGGCAGGAAACTGTCATGCAGTTTGTGGAATTGGTACAGACATAATCACTTGTGGCAAGCTGCCAGCAAAACTGGCACGTCATGTTAATTGTAAAGTTCTCCTGCTCTTGGTTATTCTCATCCTGTAAAAGGACAGCACTATCACTTCAATAGTATTAAAAAAAAAAATCAATGTGCAGTATTAAATTAGATTTCATGAGTAGACATTTTGGGCAAAAGAACAATTGCTCTGTTTGCTACCTCTTATAGAGCAGAATAAAAAACCACCAAAGAGGTATCAAAGTCACATTTAACATTCCCAATTCCTCCAATCTAAGGCTGCTGCCAAAAGGAGGGCTCATTTAGTCTAACCTTTAAGGTCAGTTTGTAGCTCTGACAGATATTTAGCCTCCCCACTCTCCAAATGTTTGGAGTGGTTTAACTCATAGGCATGGCCAGGTAATGAGAAGATCATTAGGCAAGAAAGGCAAACCAGGGAAGAAGGGCAGGCCTGCCTCTTCAAAATCCCACAGTGAGTGATCAAATTTCTCAGAACTGCAAACCTGCCTACATCAGAACCTGGAAATCACTATTCTATTTTAAGACAAGATGCCACAGTTTAATTACTTCAATCTGGGGTTAAGAGTAACGGGTTACTTACAACACAATGAACATGTGGCTTGACTTTGCAATCAAAAGTTGCTGTCTTCCCATATATACAGGAATAGTTTGTGTTGCATGTCATGCAGTCTGGTGGCAACCTACTGCAGAGCCCGTTGCTGGGACAATTAGTCACGTAAGGTGGAATTTCTGTACTTTCTGAAAGGTGCAATAGGTGAATTAAGAACCCGAGCAAAAAAAGCTAAATAGTCTAAAGTATATATATACATTTTTTTTTACACATATACATAGACAAACACATGCATTGATGGTGTATAAAGGACTTTCCACACTCAAATGGAGCAGCATTCCCAGCCTGTGCTGTGAGGGCCAGAGGAGCAACAGGGCTCCGCACAGGACACCAGCCAACACTTCAGCACAGCACCAGGACTGAGCTTACACGGATTAGTGCCACCTCAGCCAGAGCTCCTCAGCAGAAATAATCAGTTCAGGAATAGCAGCAGGGTGACACGGGTAGCCTACTTTGAGTTGAGCTCTAATTAGGGCTACATCTACCTCAGCCATTTGCTGTTTGTGTATGTACAGAATCACTTCCTAAACTACCAGCAAGAACAGCACTTCTGTCAGTCCTGATGCACCCTCAGCAAGCTACAAAGCTGTACTGATGACAGACAGGGAACAAGAGCAAGTTCTTGCAGGATGCTGGAGTCTTTCAAGAACTTCCACCATCCTGAAGGGTATAAACCACATATAGCACAATGGTACTTTAACCTACCATTTTCTAGTTTTCATATGGACCAGTTGTCTAGCTAGATAACCAAAAGTAATTGTTACGGTCATTAAGAGTAACTCATAATGTGTAACACTGCAATGCTTCTTACCACTGTGAAATAATGTACCTGTTTCTAAGACCCAATTCAAGAACTTTTGGCCTCAAGACTGAGAAGGACCCACAGATAACAAACAAAATTAACAACATAACACCTTACCTAATGCTTTAAAATAGGGTGCATTTGTACTTGTTGAAGTTAGGCTTTTTGCCAGTGTAGACTGTGGCTGTGAAAGCTTTGTCGTCATCAAAGATCCTGCTACAAGACAAAACCATGGAGAAAATGAAATACGTTGAAAAAAATTCATCTTCAGAAATAGTTTGATTTCAGCACTCTGATATGAAAATGCAAGTAGAAAGTGTAATGAGATATATAAAAAAACCAGTTCTCCAGTTCTACTAATAGTGGGATATTTATATTAAACATTAGAAAAGTAGTAAAATGGACATGTTCCTTAAAGACAAGGAACTACATTTATTTCCATTCAGTCTTATTTTCTGATTCACGAGAATTAAAAGCACTGGTCAGAAAGCAGATTTCCACAGTGTTTTCTACTGAACAATACCATATAACGAAGCAATGCAAGTAGTTCCTTGTCGGAAAGCTGGAATAAAGGAATAGAGGCACGGCTGTGTTGGTGCAGGCGCTACGCGCTGGTCGCTGCGGGAAGCGCCGCCTGAGGGCTCGGGATGCGCCAGCCCCTGCCGAGCCCTCACGGCAGCCACCGGGCATAGGTGGAAGGAGGAGAGCAGCTTCGTCTCACCACCTACCCTGGCCGTGCCGAGGAGCTCCAGGCCGGTTTGTGTCACACACGTTCGCGAAAAAGGGCCGCCACAAAAGGTGCTGTGTAATAAAGCAGCACACGAGCCGGCCAGAGGGGCCTGGCCCGTGTTTTGCCCTGACACCGAGCACCTCAGCTCCAACCCCGCAGAGCCGGCACAACGAAACGCGGCCATGCCCGAAACAGCCGCTTCGCCCCTGGTCAGGGGAGCGGCGGCGCATCCTCAGCCCACCGCGGTCACCGCCACCTCCGCGGCCGGACCCGCGCTCAGCCCTGGCTGAGCCGCCGCAGCTCGGGGCAGCCGTCCCCCCGCCCCAGGCCCCA